GAACTTGTACATGGGGAGGGTCTTTCAAAATGCACACTTGCTCAGCTGCTTCTCCCAGGACCTAGGAATCCCTGCGTGGAGCTCATGGCGGCAGCTGTGTCCACGTGACCATGCCAGGAATCTCCCTGACACCACCCACCCCGGGAATGTACTGGCATCTTTATCAGGAGGAGGCCACGGGAAGAGGTAAACTCAGCCTCACTCAAGGTGGTGCTGGACAAAGGCAGATTCAGACCAGGGCAGCCCCTCTGGATTTCCCCCACTGATGAGACTGCCATAAACCCTCACCGGGGAGCACCGAGCCCCTCGACCCCTGCAGAGAGGGGTTTGCTGGGTCGGGCCTGGAAGGAAGGCTGTGCCTGCATGAGTGATAAAGGCTGCTGACATGGTTAGCCATATTTTTAGGCCTCAGAAACATTGGGACAGGAGACATCTGTGATAGGTTCCCTGAACCTCTTTGTTTGGATGGTAAGGGCCCAGAGACACCTTGGAAAAGTGGAGGCTGCCTGCTGAGACAAGGCGACAGTCCTGTGCATGGGACACAGCCACAGCGTTCGCCCCGCTCCCTCCCTCACTGGAGACCAGCAGCTTCCTCCTCCGTCATCTCCCTCTGATGCAGAGCTCCCTGGGAAAGCAGGATGCTACTTCTAAAAAGTGCTCATTGACCTTGAACTTTTAAATGTATTTCTCAATTTTCCCCTTTTATCACTGTCTGGCGAACATTATGCCATGTCATTTCTTAAGTTCCGGTATTTAATATAAAATATTGAATGAAAACATATTTTACAAACAGCCTCCACGACTGGACACGGGAGGAGGGAACATTTTGCCAGTCCTGTCTCCCCTTTCCCTGGGCACAGCACAAACATTCCCAGTCTCCAAACAAGCAAGCGGGCAGGTAGGCGTTGCTGTTGCATTCCTGCCCCTCAGGCTCCCTGGGCCGGGACGTCCTGAGACCAGGGAGAGACAAACAGTGCAGCGCGTGTGTGAAGAATGCGGGCTTTGAGTCAGCACTGGGTTAGACTCTCCACTCTGCCATGTGTGAGCTGTATGACCCTGTGTGAGGTACTTCTTAGAGCCTCAGTTTCATCATCTGCACAATGGGAATGTTCTCGATAGGAGAGTGCATGTAAATGTCACTGGCCCGTCCATATGGGTCCAATAAATCGCGCCCATTATCACCATTTCCATGTTAGCACTTGAGCATTGCTGATTCGGAGATGCCCTGGCTGTGTGTTCAGAGAGCTGGCGGGGGGCGAGGAGGGGGTCACACGAGGGTCAAGCCCTGTCAGACAGAAGTCCCTCTTCCTGTCAGACCTCCCTGACGTCTGCACTCCATTCCTCATCTGTCTCATGTTTCTTCCCAGAGTCGTCTCCCTCTTTCCATCCCTCTTTCCCCTTTCCCCTGGAGTCCAGCCGCCTCCTCAGTGGCCCTCAGCATCCCTGCTGTGGCAGGCCATCCCTCTTCCTCGGCATCAACATCGCCAATGCTCCCGGGATGCTGTGAGGGGGAGAAGCCACTGGTTTTGCCCAGCCCACCCTCTACAGTCATCTCAGCCCCACCCCCCAGGACCATCCCTCAATCCTCCCCTGCTCCATAAAAAATATCTCCTTCATCCCTTAAACTCACATGGGCTAATGTGGTCTGCCTTAGCTACTTGCATCTGAGATCTGTCTGTCTGAGACTGCCACTCGTAACTGGCTGATTTTCAGATTGTGCTTCAAGACACGAACTTCCCAGAGTCTTTGCCCTCAGACCCGGTCCTCGTCCCTTGGCCAGACCCCGAACCCCGGCGTTATCTGGGGGGTCATGACTGCGTATGGCTGTCCGCAGGCTGGTCTGGTGGGTTTCCAGACCTCTCGGAGGTGACCCTTCCTGTGCTGTCTGGCTGCCTTTTCTTCTCAACACCAGTTGGAAAACTAACAGAATCATGGTTTTACTTGAAAAGTGGGAAAAAGCCCAGAGCCCTCCACTGAAGCAGCTACTTGCTCCTCAGTGCAAGAAATCCGATCAGGTGTGGTCACCATCATCCTGGTGATTTAAATAGCTTTATTAAGTTTTGCACAGATTTTAATCACTTGATAAATAAAATAGAAGCAAAGGCCAGACTGCAATGGGCCAAGACCTCCCTATGTTCTCAGGGATTCGTCCCCCTTACTGTGGTTCTTCTCCGTTTACCTGGGGGAAATCCGCACAGGCCACTCCGCCTGCCCCGAGGTGTGAAGAGAAATGCCCCCGGTTGAGAGCCACTGTTTTACACGCACACGCACCTCTCCCTGACAGACCTGTGAGCCCCAGACCAGAGGAGCAAACACCCAGCAGGAGGAACATGCCTCTGGGAGTCCTTGCCTTTGCCCCTCAGTGCCCAAGAGAGTTAAGCAAGTGGTTCTCAGTGGGAGCAAGGCACAGGGAATTCCTCCCCGCTGGTGAGGCTGCTGGCTCACGGGACTGAACCCTCCCCAGAGCTGTAAGATTTCAGTCTGTGAGAATCAGGGAGGTAGAGGCTGGTTGTTGAGAGGAGGACTGACTGAGGCACAAAGACTGGATATGCAGGTGTGGCCGTGCACCACACCTTATGTTGCCTGGAGAGGTCTCCCACCACTGTGGAAAGTGCCTGAGAGGGGACGGACAGACTGTTTGAAAATAAACCTCGGTGTGGGTGGATGCACCTGGGGTATCACGTGCAGTTCTTCTGCTTTCAGCATGGATGTCCTGACCCACAGCCCCCTGGGCTGTCAGAGCAGAGCCCCAGGCCACTCTAGAACCACTCCTGAGGTTCTGTGCAGCCTTGGGATTGTCAAGTGCAAATCCCATCAGTCACCTTTCAGCAAGGATTTACGAGCCACCCTTCTGGTCCTTGCTACACAAACCGCAGTCCACAGGCCAGCAGGGCGGGAACCACCTGGGAGCTAGTTAGAAATGCACAGCCTCAGGCTCGGCCCCAGAACTTCCAAATCTGAGTCTGCACTTGAACACATTCCTCAGGGAATATCCAAGGCTATTAAGGTTGAGAAGCCCTGATGTAAGCAACACAGGAAAGGGAGATCTGCTTCTTCCCTCCAGAAGCTCCCGTGTGGTAGGGAAGATGGGACTCACAGATACAGAACAATGGAGCCAAGCGCAAGTCAGACCGTCAGGCACGTTTGGGAGGGAAACGAGCACAGAACACCAAGACCAAGTCCTGCCCTGGCCGCCGACTTTCCCCGACCCTCAGCTGCCTCAGCTGTGAAGTGGGAATAACACACGTCCTGTCCAAGTCCTGTCTGCCTTACAGATCGTCCTGGATGGGAGAATGATTCACCCGCATGGGATGCAGTTCACTGTCACACACTCTGAGTGCTATGGGATCCAGGGATGGGAGCGCTAGGGGTGACCAGAACAGCCTGGGAAGGTCCTCAGGGGACAGAACGGGGAGACTAAAGGTGGCCTGTTAAAAATACTGGACAATATACTGAACCAGCACTACCGTAAAGCAAGACAGAAAGTGCACATTCTGAAAACTGCACCCAACACGGCCTCCAGGCCAGGCTGCACCTGGAGCTCCCGCTGACCAGCTGCCATCCTGACAGCCCGCCAGTGGTCAACGCCGTGGGTCTCAGAAACACGTGCTTGATGCCACCGGGGGTTTTACAAAAGGCACGAAGCAAGTTTCTGTAGGGAGGCTGGCGAGAGCTCTTTGGCTACAGACCTGAACTCTGGTTTGGGGTACACAGGATGGATCTGTGTGTCATGCTGCAGAGCTGACCTGTGACGATGCCCGACACTGGGGGGACATGCAGGGGGAGCAGGAGATAAAGGAACCCGGCAGGTGGGTCGTCATCTCCCTGGATAACATTTCTTAAGCTTTTGCTGTGTGCTAGATGTTTTCATGCTTTTTTTTTTCTTTTTCATTTAATCCTCACTCGGACCCTATCAGGCAGGACACTCTTTTGTTTCTGTATCACAGAAGAGGAAACTGGGAATTTAGAATGAGAACCCAGGTTGGTCTGCTTTCCAAAGCCTGTGACCTTAACTGTAAGTTAAAACTGCCAGGGTAACGTGAGAATTTCTGGTTTTCCTCGAGCCATTGAAACAATACGACTTTGCTTTTGTTGTGAAACCTGGCTCCCGTGGGCTCGCTGACGTTTGCCATGCTTGTCCTGAGCCTCTCCAGAGAAGTGCTGTCTTCTGGCAGGAAAAGATAAAAAGGGCTGATACAAATGAGTCACCACGCTCGCTATAATTAACGGTGATGCAAGAGCCAGATGCAACCTAAGAGGGGCCCCCAGGACCTGACTGTAGGCGGCCAGAACTCCGAGCTGCACTTCCAGGCAGAAAAGAGCGTCCGTGGCTGCTGAGCCGCCCGCTGCTCATGATACATTGTAAAGGAAGACGTGAAACCTAGAATGTGTGCAGGCTCCATGATGAATCTCCTTATTTACAACGGAAAAACCGCACACCAGAACCGGACAGAGTTTACAGTTTATAGATAATGTAGATCTTTGCTTTCGCACTGGGCCGAGTTTTCTAACTCGGAGAGACTAAGCGGTTTTCAACCTTCAGAGCTGATTCACAGCAACTATCGCTGTCAATTTACTGGCACTGGCTGTTCAGCTTGCAGTGTGTGTGTGAGCTTCACAAAAAGGACCCGTGAGCATTAGCGTCTCCCTGCATTCCTTTGCTGACTTGGAAAAAGGAGTGACACCAGGATAGGCTGATTCAAATGGATCTGAGAACACAGTTCCCACGTTATCCGCAAGCCCGTTCACCTGCAGCACCGGCATGATCACTCCACGAGGCCAGCGGAAGACGGGGCTCTCTGGCTGCTTCTAGGATGGACAATTCCCCCCTCCTTTTTGACAGAGAGAAATAATGCTCAGGACCTGGACAGACTCAACGAGTATTGAGTCAACAGACTCAGTGAGATACTGCTGATGCCAGCGGTATCTTCTCACCTCTTCGAGAGAGGCTCAACTGTCCTCAAGATTTTACCTCAATACAGCTGACAGAATCTCGCCACTTTCCTTTTGAACAGACTTTAATTGAGAGCGGAGTGAAAAATGCAGGTTACATTTTTAGTGTTATCATTGATACGTTGTAAGATCAACACCAAGACAATGATGCATCTACCATTTATACATTTGCTAACTTTAGCTGTCAAAGAGCAAATCATCATCAGATATATATATTTACACAATAATTTCAAGCAACAGAAAATAATAAACTCCCCCCCTTAAAAAAGTGAAAAAAAAATCACACACACACACACCCAATTACCTTTAAACAATGGATTTCCTCCCACTAGTAAGTATCCTTTTTGCACATATACTTGTAGACCAAAAGTTACTTAAGTTACTGAAGAACAGTCTTCTCAGAGGAGATCCTGGATCAGCCCCTATTTCTTTTAGAGTCGCTTTAATTTTTACACCTTGAAGCCACATAACCAGCATGGCCTGTACACTCTAAGGACTCTAAGGGGCACCCCAAGTGACGAAAATGAATTCTATTTCCTTCGTGTGAGGAGATACGTACATCTCTGAAGGTGCAGATGGCTACAACTCAGAACGTCAAAAATAAACACCAAACCAAAATCTCAGATCTCCAAGCACAGTTTCTTAAGAGCCTTGCACTCATGTTAACATTGAATTAACCAAGTGGTAAGATTCTCTGAGACGTCTCTACAGAGGTACTGGTTAGGTCTGATTCTTTTCTCGGCTGCTAGACACACACGAGTTTTAAAAGTTGCCTGGTGGCACACAGCCTGCCTGACCTCGGGGCTGCCGGACGGGACTCACCCCAGGGCCCGGCCCTCTGATTTATTTCTTGCCGTTGCTGTTAGTAAATGGAAACCATGACAAAGTTTACATTAGCAGACACATCCACATGCCCTGGCCTATAAATATTCTATGACGGAAAATGGTACAACGACTCCATTCCCAGTGAAAATGAGCGTAAAAGAAGGAGAGGGTGGGGGAACATTATCAACAGTGGCTCTTCTTACGCCGGAAAAACCAGACAGAAACGGCGGCGGTGGGTGTTTAAGGGACCAGACGCCGTCCACCACTTCTCTGGGGCCTTGGGAGTCCATGACAAGTTGGCAAAGCAGAAGCCAGCTTCTCCGGGCAGAGCCGGTAGGATCCAGTAGTACACGCATCTTGTCTGGGAAGCTGCATGAAGAAGATGAACTGCCATTCCCTCCTGAGAAAGGCAAGTGAGGAGGACTCTTAAAGTCAGATTGGAAAGTAGTTCTTCCCACACTGTCCGGCCTGGGTCACAGAGCTGTCCCCGTGTCGGACCTCTCAGAGTGCCAGCTGGAGCTTGGTCATGTTTCGCTGGTGCATGTTGTGATGGCGGACCAACTCGTCTGACCGGGCGAACTTTTTCTGACAGCTGGGCCACCGGCAGCTGAAGGGCTTTTCACCTGTGGACACAATCGCCAGTCAGACACCAAAGTGGGAGAGATGGGGCCAGCTCAACTCTCCAAAGCCCGTGTTAAGTCCTCACAAGGCACCCGCTCCAGACTCCCCTAGTTCTGTCCCTGAGCTAACACACCAGGCTCATCCCAGGGGCAGCTCTGAAACAGCCGCACCGCGGAGGCCTCACGGATGAAAGTACTATTAAAAAATTATAAAATATGATTAAGTCAAAAGACTTGGGAGACAGGAGACCGGGAATGGGAATGTCTAGGTAATTCCTATTTGATTATGGGGGGAAAACTTTGTTTCAGCCTCTCCTGTTAGCCTGTTTCATGAACTGTGTATGTTTTTTCCCTCTGCTGTCCAAGTAGGGACCTGAGGTTAAGGGGGCGGCAAGGGTCTCGGGACCATCCCCCCGGATATTACTGGCCAACCACCATCCAGTGGTGGAGCTGTGACGGCAGCTTCACCGTCTCTGTCTGCACAGGGTCCTGGACAGGCTGAGTGGTTTTAAACAAGTCACTGACACCAGTGTGCGTGGTATTTGCATCTTTTTCCTTCAAGTGTCACTCAGAGCATAATTCCTATCACACAAAAATCCTAGTTCAGGCATAGTCTTGAGGTTTTTAACAAGCTTGCCAAAAGATCGAGGCTTCCACCTAAGGCACCTTCAGAAGTTCTTTTCACACCACATTCTGTGCAGGGAAGAGGAGTAGCCTTTATCAAGTGCCTTGTGCTGGGCATCGTATAAATACGCCTGGCCTCGTGGACCGCACAGAACACCTCTGTGAGGGGAGCACTGTTTCCCCCACTCTACACATGAGGCGGACCTCCGGGGAGGGCAGGCCCAGGTAAGACTCAGATCCAGGTCAGTGTCATTTCAAAGCCCACGCACTTGGCGTCTCCCACCTCCTGGGCCTAGCTGTAATGGGCATAGAGCTGTGACTTCGTGCTACGTACAAATGCCACAGAAGCCACCTGGGGGATCTCCGGTATCGCTGGTCCCACTGTGTCTTTTCTGAGAACTCCTGGGCAGCACAAGCACGGAGAAATGTCCCAGGGGAGGTGCCAGCCCAGGGTCAGAACCAGGGGGTGTGGGGCAGTCAAGCACAGCATTAAACAGTCTGCATGTAACACGGGTCCCTTCGCACACATGCAGGCATGCGCAGGGAAGGGGTCAGAGTACAAGGAACGGAAACCCTTCCCCTCCAGATTATGAGCTCAGGACTAAGGCAAAGAAACAACACCAAAGCACCTGAGGGGGGCCAAGGACATGCCCATCCCGCCAACTCCGGGGCACAGGTGCCTTGACTCTGTCTACAGGTGCAGCCTGTTTGGGTCCCACGGCTGTTCCTCTGCTCTGCCTGACTGGCCCCTGCTGCCCGGCCCCCACCTCCAGCCATGCTGCCCAAGTTGTGTCCATGTCCAGCCCTGTCCCTCACTGTCTTCGCTCGCCGCCACCTACCAACTGTGTTCACCTCTGCCGACCTGGGCTGTCTTCTCGATTCTCTTCCCTCCCCAGGCTGGGCAGTGAACCCCAAACCCCAACAACTTCCTCCAGTAAAGAAGGCAGTGGGGATACAGTGGGCTGGGAGCAGATAAAACTGGGTTTGCTACTTACTGGCTTTGGGACTTTACATGAGCCACTAAAGTGCTATGTGCCTCAGTCCCCTCATCTGTAAAATGGGGATAAATCACGCCAGCCCTCCTCTTCTTACGAGACTGGTGTAGAGATAAAGATAACCTAGGCATTGCTTTTCCTTTCAAAGCTATAGAACACAGAACAAAGATAGTGCTGTTTGCATTATGAATCACACCAGCCTTGTGGAGAAGCAAAAACCTTAAATGCACTATTGCCCTCTCGATACTAGCGTAAAGGAAATAACAGCCACATGCCGACGTCAGGCGGGCAGACATTGTGACGGCTCCTGGAGCATTAAGTTTTAGCAACGAAAGGATTCCGGCCTCTGAACACAGTGTGGTGAAACGTGAACTTTCAGGAGGACAAATGTTTAGCTTGCTAGATTTTGGCTGGTTAGAATTTCTGCTGTTCTGTAAGGTTGATTATCCTATCGAGCTGGGTGATAAAAATATGATGCAACGAACTGGGAACAGGAGGGACCTAACTTATCTCTTCGCTTTCACTCTGGACGCTCATGAAAAGGGTTCTTCCGACATCTCCCTTCTGCTCTGCATCCACCCCACTGTCCCTTCTTAAACAATGTTCTTATTTAAAGATAACCACATACCGTTCTTTCTCTCATCTCAGTCTAACCCTGCTGAGAGCCCTTTTACACTACTCTTTTCCAGTCTCCCTCATCAAATACAACTTCGTTCAATGGCAGTTATAAAAAAAATAATGAAAAATAAATGTGAAGAAAAGTTTACGCACTTGTTTTACCTGTATGAGTCCTGGTGTGGGTCTTCAGGTGGTCAGACCGGGAGAACTTTCGCTGACAAGTTTTACACTGGAAGGGTTTCACACCTAAACGGACAGAGAAGGTCTAGCCGCAGCCCTGGCAACGCGGGGGTGCAACGAGGCCCACGAGGCCTGCTTCCCAGCAGCCGGAGGAGCCAGCCACACCTGCAGCGTCTGCCTCACCCTCAGATTTCCCCCAGGCCCAGCACAAACCACCTGGGGTCCTGTGCATAACCCCAGAAGACCTGCTTCTGGTCTTGGAAACAATTATTCCTTAACCACAGCTGTCCAGCTTCTGACCGAGGTCTCAGCTGTGTCCAAGACTGAAAAAGAGAATTGCACGCTACAAATGGAATTCTGATCCCCACCACCTCTGGTGTTTACTGATGCTCAGTGTCTCATCAGCAAGTTGCTAGTGGGATCTTGTTGTTCCGTGGTTTGCATGATAAATGTGAGATGCTTCTTTTTCTCTTTCTTTTTTTGTTTAAGAGAAGAAAAAATCCCCAGAGATTGGGAGGAAAAAAATTGAAAAAAATGAAAGAAATGGCTAACCCTCTCATATCCATTTTTAACAACACAGGAAAGCACAAAAGTAGCCGTAACCCAAGGGAACACACTGCCAGCAACGAGAAGTGAACCTACAAACCTGTGTGTCTCCTTTGGTGTCTTTTGAGCTGGTCTGAACGAGAAAACCTTCGCTCACAGTCCTTGAAGTCACACTGGTATGGTTTCTCACCTTGGAGGAAGACACATACTCCATTTGAAAATGACACTGGAAGTGGAGATCTCCTGAAAGGCAACCTCTCCTCTGGGGACTGGAGTGGAGCATGTCAGGGTAGACTTGCCAACTGCAGCGTGCGGTTGAAGGCCTGCCTGCACATGGGCTCGTGGACAGCGGGTGTGGGTTGGGGGGGTGCAGATTAGGTGAATGAGGATGGTCCCTCCCCTCCCAGTTCGAAGTGAACGGAAACTCAGGTTCTGGAGCCTGACACGGGGGTCACATCCAGCTCTGCCACCTTAAGTGCTGGGTGAGGTGCAGTTTCCTTATCGTGAATTGGAGCCAATACTCTGACAACTTCCGAGGATTTATAAACTGATGAAACCAGACCATCCGCATAAAGGGCTTAGCCCAGTACCTAGCACAGAAGCCGGGCTCAAAAATCACTGGCAGAGAATAGTCAGATAAAGAATAAACTGAAGAAGCCTTAACTCCTCGACTGAGTCGGAGGCAGAATTCTGGGGCAGATGCGCCTTGGAGCTGGCCCCACGACATGGGTGTTTTCTATTTTACGGCCTGAAGATTTGGTGCTCTCTGCCACCATCTCCTCATTCCTGGCTCAGGCATAAAAGGCTCCATGATCGTGAGACGCTCAAGTTAAACGAGGGTCAAAGCGTTCAGAAAGTTTTTGCTGTCCCTTTATCAGAGAGAAGCTAGTAGTGGGATTGCACAACCTCCTCCGTCAGAGTGAAGAAGCCCCACCCTGTCCTCACTTGAGAAAGTTCAGCCAAACACTGGGAACTGAGCCCCAGGAGTGCACTACGCAACCTCGGGCCTTTCCACCTTCTTATGAGAATTCTGAGTCACCGGCATTCTGGGATGGAGAGCAAGCCACCCTGGGCTCAGCAGGGTCTTTCCATTGCAGGGCAGTCCCTAGTTACCTTTCCAACTGCAGAGCCTCCTCTGTTTCCCCGATGAATCTGTATTCCTGCTACGCCAGAGCTCACCATTCCCGAAATCCCTGCCTTGCACTTTGCTCGCACTAAACACCCTCTGTCGCTATCTCCACATTCCTACCCAGCAAAAAGTCTGCTGTGCGTTCCTCACAAATCCCTGTTCCTCTGAGGTGCCTTCCTGGAAGCTTCGTGTTCGACTGAAAGCCCTTCCTTCCCTCGTGACAGAACTGATTACAGAACGTCTGACGTGGTGGGCTGTGTCCAGGTCTACCTTCTTCCACGGGCTGGAAAACCCAAGGGCAGGGGCCTCTCCTGAACTTGCCACTTGTATCCAGCCCAGGGACTTACGCTCTGCCTCTGCGACCTGGAGAGGATACCACCCCTATGTGGTCTCATTTCTCTTCCCTGCCTGCCTGCTTCTGCTCCTGTTTTCCTTCCTCTGCCCAATCTTATCAAGCCTAATGGTCCTCCAAGAAACCCTTCCTCCTCCAAGAAACCTTGACACCAGCTCAAACATACTCGGAACAATTCTTCCCAACTCCTCCAGCCTCCAGTTTAATACATTGTCATTTACTCTCTCGGTCCCTTCTCGTTGGTGTACATCCTGGCTCCAAAACAGACCATTCGCTCTTTGAGAAGGGGGCTTGTCACTTGGGAGTTGAAAGGCATGAGTTCAAGTCCTGCTTCTGCTGCACCTACTCACCTGATCATCGCTTCATGTGTGAGGATTAAGTGAAATAACGCATGGAGAGAGCCTGGGACATAGAAAGCATTTAATATAAAATCACTTAATAGTCTGCACTATAATTATAAATAAATTTTTTTAAATTGCACTCTTTCAAGAGAGGAGCCACAGGGTTATTATATATCAGCCTGCCTTCCTCATCTTCTGCAAGAAGAGCTTCTTGGATGCACCAACAGGCCTGGTGCTCTTGGCTATCTCGTCTGTTGTCTTCCCTTCACACAGACATCTAACCTCCATTCTTGTCTGTGTCTCTTTCCCATTAGAAGTTTTTACAACTATATTGTCTTCAGTGTATGCTATCCCCTCACATTTTCCCAGGCAGAATTTTACTTTAGCCTTTCCCTTATGACCTTATCATTTACTTTCCAAGTGATCCCATTCAGGGAAATATGTAAAAATAGAACGGGCCACCAGATTGCTCCTCTCCAGCCTGAAAGCACAGGGCCGACCGAGTGCAAATTCGGGTCTGTGCCAGAACTGCTCCTCCAGATGCAACCACTTAGCAAGGTCTAATGGTTTAGAGATCTGAATGCAGGTTGCTCACTTCTCCAACGTCCCCCGAAGCAAAGCCAGCAGTGATGGTAAAATAACAATGGTGATCATCGCCACAAAGCCGTCCTTCCATTGTGAAAAGAATGGCCCCGATGCTCTGTGGGAAAGCCTGCACTTCCCGCTGTTTCCCTGCAGGGAAGACAGCACCTCACTCCCATCTAGCGCCCACGGGCCAAGGGCAAACATCTATGAAATGGCCGTTCATGTTCAAGGTGGCCAACAACCAGACACGGCCGGCCCTCTTTCCCAGAGGCAGACCCGCTGGCCTGTGGGAAAATCCACATCATCAAAAATCACTGTCTTTTTTTTAAGATTAAGAATAAAAATTAAATATAATCCATTTTCTCATTCTCAACTGGTTGGTTATTATTAACCCAAGCAGTTAAATTTTTCTCTGGACCATCTCTTCCTAATCTTAGGATAACCTAGCCCATCAAGCTCTCCAAACCATCAGATTACCAAACTCTCCAGCTACTTCCTCTCTCTTTAGAGATGCTAATAGTATTCTAACAGTAACGCTATCATTTATTCAGACCTATTGACATAGGGTACTGCACTAGGTGCTTCACACTGCTTTCATTCAATTTGATATTAAATTTTAATCTAGTCTTAACCATTGTGTACGGTAGGCATCATCATCTCTATTTTTCACATTAAGCAAATGAAGTTCAAAGAGAGGTTAGAACTTGCTCTAGGTCTCTGCACTCGGTGATGAAACCAGTATTGAAACACAAGGCTCTTTAATTCTGCGCAGTTCTCTTTCCACCACTCTGCTCTGTCCTTCCTGAGGTTTACTGACTTCTTTATTAAAGCGTGGACAATCAGGATGCAAAACGGCCTTGCAGCCTTTTTCTATCACATATGCCAGAACTTTCAAAGAAATGCCTACTTTCCATCCCTGGAATCTCCTGTGTCCTTGGCAGTGTGAGAACCAGGAGCCAGAGCTCTGGAGCCACCATGACCCAAAGGCCACGGGAACCAGGGCTGGGTGGCGGACACACTCACCAGTGTGCTTCCGGCTGTGCATCTGTAAGTGAGACAGCTTAAAATATCTCTTATTGCAGCCCGGGTAAGCACACATGAAGGGGCGTTTCTCACTGGTCTCAGAGGCTGACCGGACAAGAGTCGGGGCTACTCCAGGCACACGCCGCACGTCCTGCAAGCAGAGTGTAAGAGAAATGGAGGCTTTAAGCCACATGTGAACATGCATGTCAGTCCAAGAGAAAGGGAGCATTGGCATACAGCCAAGGAAGGAATGGCAGATACGAGGCCTCAAACCATCCCCTCCACACACCACATGCCCACAGCAGACACCACTAATGGGTGACAGATCAGGACGTTCTACAATGCATTGCTCTAATGTCATCATTGCTGGACAACCAGAACCAGTGCTTAAAGTCTGTCTGGGCTCACTGATCCAGAGTATCTGGAACAGAAGTGCTAATGACCGGAAGAGCTCCCATTCTATCCTGTCTCTCCGCTTCTGCACTTGATGCAGTGAGGTTTGAAAGTCTGAAGTCCCAGGTTCTACTCCATTCCCTCCCACTCAGAGACCTGGCCACACAACCAGCGCCCCACTCTGAAGTGGGTAGGGAAGTCCTTATGAGAGAGACATGCGGGATACTAGATGAACCCCAAACTAGCCAGACTTTCCACGTGTGAGTAAAAGAACCCATGAGTTTGGGGGTTTCTGTCTGTGAAGGGGAGCTGAATGCCCCAGGGGCCCCATGTAGCCAGTGCAGCCCTTTAATAACAGCACCAGAAAACACTGGGCCTGCCTTCCACGCACTGTCCACGTCCTTCACAGGGCATTCTGCTGCCCCCCTTTACCTGGTGAGCGTGAGTATGTATACGGTCAGTCCTTCGTGGCAAAGAGCTAGAGGAAACAGATGAGGCAAGCTCCCCTTCCTGCTCTCCAGATCTCTGTGACTCTCTAGAATGTCACAGACTGGAGCAGCGCAGGTGCCGGAGGGGCGGCTGAATCCTCCTCATTCTTACAGACGTGCAAATCGAGGCCAAAGAGCACTTCTGTGTTTTAAGATCTGGAAATACTTCTGAACTCACCCATTCTCTGCCCTGGGCATTTGAAACACCACCCCCAGTGCCTGTGTTCTGCTTTCTCTTTCACATTGCCTGGCACTGTGAGATCTCCCATTCTGCAGAAAGAGTCCTGCAGTGACAGGTAACTTGGATGTTGGTAGGCCATAGTGTCTCGAGGCAAATGGTGATATAAATCTCAATGGTGAGCCACTGTATTTGACTGGTGTGCTCCGGGAGAAAAGGACTGGGCTGGAGCCAATCAGAGGCCGTGACAGTGAGGCTGACAAATGAGGCTTGGTGGAAAGGAAGGCATAGGAACTTTTTTTCATTTCCTGTAATTCACTCCAGATGCAACGCACATGGCGATAGGATACAAAATTGAGCTGTCAGTGGTCCTGATGGAGGATGCTGATGGTATTTGTTGGAGGACAGATGAGATGACTCTTTCTGTACTTCCATCAGATTTCTGTATTTCTGTGACCCTTGCCTTTATTCCCACCACTGGAAGGCCTGGGGTGAGGGAGCACACTGTTCTATCACCAGGACGCTTCTGGAAACATGAATCAGAACATCTCGGAGCTACTTGCCCTACAGACCATGCGGGGACCTGGCCCACATACAACTGATTTCTAGGGTACTGACTGGTCTGGGAAAGTATCACCACAGTTACTCATGTTGCAGCCAGGAGTCACGTGCAAAAGTCACCAATGCAAACCCCTGGGAACTGCATGTGGTCCTGACCGCCAAAGGGGGCTCTGCGGAGGTGACCTTCACCGAGTTCCCCGATTCTGTAACAGGTTTACCTTTTCACTTCACTTTCTGCACTCTCCTTGGAGACTCCCTCCTCCCCTAAACTGCTCACAGCCTTCTGTCTCCCTGTGAGGCAGTATAACATGGTGCTTAAAACCAGGGCTTCTGGAGTCAGGCCAAATGTGTTGCAAGTCTCTGCTCCACCTCTTACAGAGATGTGGTTTTGGACAAGTCACTTGTCTTCTCCAGACTTCAGTTTCCTTATTTATAAAACGGAGCTAATAATAGTAAACGGAGCTCATAAAGGTGTGCTCAGGGTTAAATGGGGCGGGAGAGTCAATGTGCAGACATGGAAGAAGCTTAAATGCATACTACGAAGTGAAAGGAGCCACACAGGCTATGCACAGTGTGATTCCGACTACATGGCACTCTGGAGAAAGGCAAAATGATACAGACAATAAAAAGATCACCAGTTGTGGGGGCAGGGGAAGAAGAGAGAGGGGGAGGGATGAAGAGGGGGAGCACAGGACATTTTTAGGCAGTGAAACTATTCTGTATGATAGTCTAATGGTAGGTACATGGAGGTTTGCATTTAACAAAACCCATAGAACGACACAACACAAACAGTGAATCCTAATGTAAACTACGGGCTTTAGTTAACAATAATGGGTCACTATTGGCTTATCCATCTTAACAAATATGCATACCAAAGCAAGATGCTAATCGTGGCAGGTGGGGGGGGTTGGTTACTGGAATGCTCTTTACTTTCTGCACAATTTTTCCTTAAACCCAACATTGCCTTAAAAAATTAAGTCTATTTTTTTTAAAAAGTCCATGTATAAAACTTTGCACAATGTCTGACATATAGAAAGTGTCCAGCCATAGGCAGTGTTATCATTAGTATTATAGCAACACTTGGCAAGATAGAGTCCACCTCTGGGTGCTTTACAATGCAGACCAAGTCTTCTTAGAAGTCAAAAGCAAGCCCAGTTCACCCCAAATATAAGAGCTGTGCAGCCCACCATGGAAAAGGCAAATTAAACCATGAAAAAAAGGAAGGAGGGGATTCTGCAAGAAGCATCTTGGCCTGAACCAGAGAGGCAGCCCCCTCCACACTGGCCTCCAGACGGGAGGAGGCTGCCCTACCCGCCCCCGTGGAAAAGGAGGGGTCCCTACTGTCACAGGAGCATACAGTGAGGAACAGACTTGCTAGGGTCCAACGGCCATCAGCATGGAAGTGAAAGGGTGTGGAGAAGGGAAAGAGGCAGGGAAGTTCACTTCCAGCGGGACCCCAGGTACTCACCTGAATGCCCCTGAAGACGCCGTGGGTGTGTATCCTGTACTGGGCCCCACAGAGAATGGGCGTGGTGTGGTTGTCGCTCTCATACCCTGTGCCGTGGCTGCGAACACGAAGAAGAGAGAATGAGGCTCAGGTGGGTCCACAGGCGCCACTTCAAAATGGGCATCTGCAGCAGCGGGAATGTTTTTAAAAGCTCACAGGAGAACAGCTGATTTTGGCCTCTCTCCACGGGGGCTACTTTGGAAGCAGGGTTTTATGCAGGGCGGGGCCACTCAGTCCTGGCCTCGCCACCACACAGCGCTCCCTCGAGCTCAGATCCTCGCAGACACGCTGCGCCGTCTGGGTCTGTGCCTCTCTCAGACAAGCGGGGGAAGTCACAGTGACAGGAGTTCATCCCCAGCAAGTTGTTTACCGTCTGGATGGCAGGGCTGACAGCTGCAAATATCTCAGGAATGAACAGATGCCTCAAGTTCACATCAAGTGCGATGGATGTTTGTCAGCACCTCATGACTCAGTTTTTACCAGAGAGCACCCAGAAAGTGATGACACAAGAAGAGATGTTACATCCTCAGAAGTGGTTACACATCTGTGGCCCTGCTCCGCGTAACCTTCAGATCAGCTTTCCAGATCAACTTAACTCTTTGCAGCCAGCCCCTGTCAAAGATGGACACTGGATAATCTCCCCCAGCACTAGACTGACCAGTCCCCAAGTCGAGGCTCAGGCTAACCTTGGACTCCTAGTGAGGGCTGAGGGATAAGGAATGTTGAAAATAACCACTTGGAAAGGGTGCGTGTTCTGTTCCAAAAGTATTCTCTCTTTCGGGAAAAAGCTGATATCTGTTCTGCAGTCACTTTACTTCCAAATGAGGCAGAGTAAGGGTTTTTATTCCACATGGGCAGCACATTATACTCACATCTAGAATCACCATGGAGAGCGTTTATGAAATTCCTCTGTGAAATGGTGCAGCTGCTTTGGAAAAGGCCTGGCAGTTCCTCAAAAGGTTACACATAAAGTTACCATGTGACCCAGCAATCCACTTCTAGGTGTATCCCCAGGAGAAATGAATCATGTGTTTACACAGAAACTTGTACACCTCATTTATGAGCAGCACTTAACTCCCCCTAGCCAACAAGTGGAGTAGACCTAGATGGCCGCCCGCTGATGCGGGGTGGAGAAACAAACTATAGTGTATATTCATAAGGTGGAATATTATTTCACTATAAAAAGGAATGAAATACTGATACATGATAATGTAGACAAACCTTGAAAACATCATACTAAGTGGAAGAGGTCAATCACAGAGGACCACCTATTGTGTGATTCCATATATACGAAATATCCAGAACAGGCATAATTACAGGCAGGAAGCAGACCCATGGTTGGCTGCCCAGGGCTGGGGAAGCTGGAGAGAAGTGCAGAGTGACCGCTCAAAATGCTCCCAACCTGTGGTAACAGTTGGGCAACTCTGACTATACCAGGACTGTTGAATTATATACTCCAAATGAGTGAACTACACTTGTAAAGCTGCTTTTAGAAAGTTACCTCTGGGGAACGGGGTCCACAGACCAGCACGTGGTTAAGCCTCCAGGTGCAATTAATGGCTATCAGGGCTGAGAGCCTCCACCCTCTGGCTGTTACTCTAGAGGTCCCAGGGCTCCGGGTGCAGGAGCAGGTAGCCAGGCTGATGAGCCCACTCCACCTGAAGCTGTGGGGAAAGCCTGGGGCCAGCTCAGCTGTCACTCACCCAGGGGAAGGAATTCCTGAGAGGGAAGAGTATCTGCCAGGACGACTAATGTGTCCACACGCCCTGCGGCCACAGCAGCTGTAGGGTTTCACACTCATTCTGGCTCTGAGCTTTTGAGAAAGGACCGTCTGTCTCCTCTGCACAGAGCGGTGACAGAAGCCTGAGGAGATGCATGGCAGTTCATGGCCCCTGACCTACTACACATACCTTGTCTGTACATCTTCCAGGTGATTTTTGACATATCTGGAGGGAAATGTCTCAAAGAGCTGCACCGGGGTCAACCGCGCAAACACTGGAGAGACATGCCAAGCCCAGATAGTATCTGCCTTTCTGAAGCTTCGAACGTGCTTGCCAAGAAAAAGAGGCCGTGTCTGCGTTCCTTACAATTACACAGACGGTTGGGGAAGTGAGAGCTGATGACAATGGCGATGGGGCGGCAGGAGGAGGACAGGACAAGAATGCTGCGGCCAGAAGATTTTGCCTCCAAGGCTGTGAAGAGATACTGCCTTTGCTTGCTTTAGCCTTCTGCGTGCAGCCCAAGCGTGACTTAGAGATTTTCTAGGGCTGGAGGGTCTCTAGGATACAGCAGAAGAAATATCTTCAAGTTCTGCCATCAAAGGAAGAGAGTTAGGAATATCCTGTCTTGGCAGCTGGTCTCTGGATGTTTCTGGGTTTCTGGAGGTTGGGGGGCACGGGACATAGACATTACTCAGGATACTTGTCCCGGGAAATGAAGCATTGTGACACTCAAAAGGAATGACAGGAGCCTCCCAGCCAGATGCAAGCCAACAGACAAAAGCAGCAACCAGCAACAAGAGTGCAGCCGCCAAATATGCCACTGGACTCTTTTACCGGGTCCATGAATTAGAAAGACAGCTGGGCCCTGCCTACTGGCTCTCGGGGCTACAGAGGACAAGCACACAATACAGTTCCACACTGTGGAAACCCTGCAGCCCAACACTTTCCTGTGTGGTCTGCACAGGATGCCGAGTACAGCCTGTGGGCTCAGTGACGACTCTCCCCAGATAAGGCAAGGAAATCAAGTCTGTGGTCTTGGAACCACACATGCATAGAGGTGAAAAGGTCATCTACTCCAACCGCCATTCAAAGCTCCTCTAGCTCATCCCCAACAGTTGAACAGTATGACTGGTCACAAGTTGTTAAAGCAGCCCAGTCTGCTTGAGGAAAGTTTCTGTTGTTACGAGAAGCCTTTCTCAACCAAGCTGAAATCCGCCTCCTTGTTTCTGTCTTTTGAAGAACCACAGAATGAGTATTACCATTTTACAGCCATCTCTGTGTTATCTCTTCTGCTCTATGGTAAACTTGGCCTTGAGGACAGAGACCAACTTGCTCCTTTATGTATCCTCTCACCTTAGTGACTGAAGTAAAAGGTGCATAGTTCATAAATGTCCCACGAGGTGGGCTGAATCTAACTCCTCTTGCACATGACAATCCTTTAGGTGTGAAGACACCTAATAGGTAATCCTTTACCTGTTGAAGACAGCTCTCTGGGCTACAGAACTGTGGTTCTTGCCACTATTACAACAAGAACTGGTATCCAAAGTCCTTTACTAGCTGGGTCCTCCTCTTCTTGATCCCCTACATTTTATTAAGTACCTCTCAAAGTGTGGGCTCAGGATGGATTCCTAGGCCCCGGAAGATTGCATCTATAAAGGAGTGAGAAGAGAGAACCATCCACAAACACAAAAGCCTTTAGAGTCAGGGAAGTGACAAATATCAGTGCCCGAGACTAGAGAGCACATGCCTCACCCAAAAGGGTTCCATTCCAAATTTTCCAAAATCAGTGTGCAAGTCAAACACAGCACAATGCATTGGGCCCACAGGCTGCCAGGGCTCAATCCCTGGGCTAAGGGCCTGGGGTTTCCCCCCTCCATCTGGACAGAGTTACTGCCATTTACACACCTAAGAGCACATCACTTCTTGGCACTGAGGTCACAGTGGTCTTTGTCAGCCAAATAAGATCTCCAGCTACAACCCCCACCCCAAAATGAACTGCAGTTCATTCAAGGCAGTTATCACCTACCTTGAGCCTGAAGACAGAATTTTTTAAAAGATTTTATTTATTTATTTTTAAAGAGGGAAAGGGAGAAAAAGAGAGAGAGAAACATCGATATGAGAGGCAATCGATCGAGCTGCCTCTTGCACACACCCTCACTAGGGCCCGAACCCACAATCCAGGCACATGCCCTGCCCAGGAATCAAACCTGTGAACTTTTGCTTTGCAGGACGACACCCAACCAACTGAGCCACAGTGGTCAGGGCAAGACATGATTTTTTTTAAGCTGCAATTCAGGATTATACACATAAATTTCACTCTATTTCTTTCAGCAAGTCATTCTCAACTTGTTGAAATCTTTTTGACTCTTGACTTGGCTTTCAAACATTTGCTTTCATTCCTGTTTCATGTTACCTCCACATTTGAAAAGCAGCTTTCCCGTGTTTTCCTAAGAGGAAAGGAGCCTCCCTGCTTTGCTGGGAGCTATTGCATCTACAGTATGTATACTTGGTCTCTGGTATTCATGAAGTGATAGGATTCTAGATGGATTCTCCAGGGGCAGCTGGAGGGAAGATATCATAAAGAACCTGGTCACTTGCATGGGGTCCAGTCCAACAGAGCATTAGCCATCAGCAGGAGTTAAGCTGAGACAGAGAGGCTCAGGCAGATGGTGGCTGCCACTGGAACAACAGCCACTGGTAAGACCCAGCTGCTGGCTTAGACAGTCAAGTGAAGCCACGCTTTACCCCTGGAGAGACCAGCCTTAAGAACTGCCACTTACTACAGATGAATCAAATAAGAGCAAGGGCAGGATTTCTGGAGGTCTGGAGCCATGAGACCCTCCGAGAAGGGCAAGGAGCCACCAGCCTAATGAAGAGATTTCTGGAGCCAAACATGCACCTGACAGATAAAGAGACCACAGATCCCTAGGCAGTTGTGGGGTAAAACTTCATCTTAACCCAGAGATGAGAGTGTTATCATTCATGGAGCTGACACCAGAAAGAAGGTTCTAGAGCAGAGTGTGAATCCCACTGACCAAGCAACTGAGAGACCCCAATCGCCCTTCAGATACAAATGCAGGTGGGGACTGGATCCACCTTTAAACCCAGATAACAGGAAGGAAAGTACAGGAACCCCAGCACTCTGCACAACCAGGCACACGATCCAAACCTGAGAAAGGCTGGGCTTGCTTAGGATAAGAAATTGGTGCTTTATAAAATGCTTTCATGGCTTTTCATTTTGTTGCCTAGTACACTTCTCTTTGACAGATAAGTCACTTGACCAGCGGAATGACAGGGAAAAGGGATTTGACGACTCCTTGGCCAAGATCATCGTCAG